CGTCGTTTTTTTCGTCATCATCCCTTTCGTCGTCGTCGTCCTCGTCCTGGTCTTCTTCGTCCTCGTCGTCGTCGTTTTCATCGTCGTCGTCCTTTTCGTCGTCGTCGTCGTTGTCGTCCTCGTCGTCGTCGTCCTTTTCTTCGTCCTTTTCGTCGTCGTCTTTTTCATCGTCGTCGTCCTTTTCGTCGTTGTCGCCGCTTTCGTCGTCCTTTTCGTCGGCGTCGTCGTCCTCGTCTTGGTCGTCGTCGTCCTTTTCGTCGTCATTTTCATAGTCGTTGTCCTTTTCGTCGTCATTTTCATCGTCGTCGTCGTCCTTCCTTTTTTCGTCGTCGTTTTTTCGTCGTCGTTGTCGTCGTCCTCGGCCTGGGCGACGTCATCCTCGTCGCCTTCCTTTTCATCGTTGTCGTCCTTTTCGTCGTCGTCGTCCTCGTCGACCTTTTCGTCGTCTTTTCGTCGGTTTTTCGTCGTCGTCGTCCTTTTCATCGTCGTCGTAATTTTCGTCGTCGTCGTCCTTTTCGTCGTCGTCGTCCTTTTCGTCGTGATCGTCTTTCTCGTCGTCGTCTTTTTCGTCGTCATCGTCCTTTTCGTCGTCGTCTTTTTCGTCGTCCTTTTCGTCATTGTCGTCGTCGTCCTTTTCGTCGTCCTTTTCATCATCGTCGCCGTCCTTTTCGGCGTCCGGTCGTCGTCATCGCCGTCGCCGTCGTCGTCGTCGTCGTCGTCCCTTTCGTCGTCGTCCTTTCCATCGTGGTCGTCCTTTTCGTCGTCGTCGTTCTCGTCGTCCTTGTCGTCATCGTCGTTTTTTTCGTCGTTCTCTTCACCGTCGTCCTTTTCGTCGTCGACGTCGTCGTCCTATTCGTCGTCATTTTCATCGTCGTCGTCCTTTTGGTTGTCGTCGTCGTTTCTTTCGTGGTCGTCCTTTTCGTCGTCGTCGTCCTCGTCCTGGTCGTCGTCGTCCTCATCGTAGTCCTTTTCATCGTCGTCGTCCTTTTCGCTCCTGTCGTCGTTTTCTTCGTCGTCGTCTTTTTCGTCGTCGTCATTTTCATCGTCGTCGTCCTCGTCGTCGTCGTCGTCCTTTTCGTCGTCTTTTCGTCGTCGTCGTCCTTTTCGTCATCGTCGACGTCATGCTCGTCCTGGTCGTTGTCGTCCTCGTCGTCATCATTTTCGTCGTCGTCCTTTTCGTCGTCGTCGTCGTGGTCGTCCTCGTCGTCGTCGTCCTTTTCGTCGACCTTTTCGTCGTAGTCCTTTTTATCGTCGTCGTCCTTTTCGTCGTCCTTTTCATCGTCGTCCTTTTCGTCGTCGTCGTCGTCCTCGTCTTGGTCGTCATCCTTGTGGTCGTCCTTTTCATCGGTTGTCCTTTTCGTCGTCTTCGTTTTCGTCGTCATTGTCGGTCGTCCTTTTCGTCGTCCTTATTTTCGTCGTCGTCCTTGTTTTCGTCGTCGTCGTTGTCGTCGTCCTCGGCCTGGGCGACGTCATCCTCGTCGCCTTCCTTTCTATCATCGTCATCGTCCTTTTCGTCGTCGTCGTCGTCCTCGTCGACCTTTTGGTGGTCTGTTTGTAGGTTTTTCCGACGTCGTCCTTTTCATCGTCGTTTTTTTTTCGTCGTCGTCGTCCTTTTCGTCGTGCTCGTCTTTTTCGTCGTCGTCTTTTTCGTCGTCGTCGTCTTCGACGTCGTCGTCGTCGTCGTCATCGTCGTAGTCGTCCTTTTCGTCGTCTTTTCGTCGTCGTCTTTTCGTCGTCGTCTTTTTCGTCGTCGTCCTTTTCGTCATCGTCGTCGTGGCCCTTCTCGTCGACGTTTTCATCATCGTCGTCCTTTCATCGTCGTCGCCGTCGCCGTCGTCGTCGTCGTCGCCGTCGTCGTCCCCTTCGTCGTCCTTTCCATCGTCGTCGTCCTTTTCGTCGTCGTCGTCGTTCTCGTCGTCCTTTTCGTCGTCGTCGTTTTCGTCGTCCTGTTCGTCATCGTCGTCCTTTGCGTCGTCGTCGTCGTCAAATTCGTCGTCCTTTTCATCGTCGCCGTCCTTTTGGTTGTCGTCGTCGTCCTTGTCGTCGTCGTCCTGGTCCAGGTCGTCGTCGTCCTCGTCGTCGTCCTTTTCATCGTCGTCGTCCTGTTCGTTGTCGTCGTCGTCTTCGTCGTCGTCTTTTTCGTCGTCTTTTTCATCGTCGTCGTCCTCGTCGTCGTCGTCGTGGTCGTCGTCGTCATCGTCGTCCTGTCGTCGTCTTTTCATCATCATCGTCGTCGTCCTTTTCCTGGTCGACCTTTTCGTCATCGTCGCCGTCGTGCTCGTCCTGGTCGTCGTCGTCCTCGTCGTCGTCGTTTTTATCGTCGTCGTCCTTTTCGTCATGGTCGTCGTTGTCGTCCTCGTCGTCCTTTTCGTCGTCGTTTTTTTTTATCGTCGTCGTCCTTTTCGTCGTCGTCGAGGCTTTCGTCGTTCTTTCCGTCGTCGTCTGTTTCGTCGTCCTTTCATCGTCGTCCTTTTTGTCGTCGCCGTCGTCCTCATCTTGCTCGTCGTCGTCCTTTTCGTTGTCATTTTCATAGTCGTTGTCCTTTTCGTCGTCGTGGTTTTCGTCGTCCTTGTCATCGTCGTCGTCACTTTGTTCGTCGTGGTCTTTTCGTCATCGTCGTCGTCCTCGTCCTGGTCGACGTCGTCCTCGTCGTCGTCCTTTTCATCGTCGTCGTCCCTTTCGTCGTCATTTTCATAGTCGTCGTCCTTTTCGTCGTCGTCGTTTTCGTCGTCGTACTTTTGGTTGTCGTCGACATTTTTTCGGTCGTCGTCTTTTCGACGTCGTTGTCGTCCTCGTCCTGGTCGACGTCGTCCTCGTCGTCGTCCATTTTATTGTCGTCGTCCTTTTCGTCGTCGTCGTCGTCCTTTTCGTCGTCGTCGTCGTCGTCGATTTCTCGTCGTCGCCTATTTCGTCCTCGTCGTCTTCGTCGTCGTCGTCGTCCCCGTCGTCGTCGATATCTCCCTTTCGTCGTCGTCCTTTTCGTCGTCGTTTCGTCGTCGTCGTCGTTTTCGACGTCGTCCTTTTCATCATCGTCGTCGTTCTTTTTGTCCTCTGGTGGTCGTCATCGCCGTCGCCGTCGGCGTCGTCGTCGCCGTCGTCGCCCACTTCGTCGTCCTTTCCATCGTCGTCGTCCTTTCCGTCGTCGTCGTTCTCATCGTCCTTTCCATCGTCGTCGTTCTTTTCGTCGTTCTCTTCATCGTCGTCCATTTCGTCGTCATTTTCAGAATCGTCGCCCTTTTCCTGGTCGTCATCGTCCTCGTCGTCGTCCGTTTCGTCATCGTCGTCGTCCTTGTCGTCGTCGTCGTCGTCGTCGTCGTCGTCGTCCTCGTCGTGGTAGTCCTCGTCGTCGTCGCCCTTTTCGTCGTGTTTTCGTCGTCGTCATCCTTTTCGTCGTCCTGGTCGTCATCGTCGTCGTCGTCCTCGTCCTGGTCGTCGTCGTCCTCGTCGTCGTCCTTTTCATCGTCGTCGTCCGTTTCTTCGTCGTCATCGTTGTCGTCCTCGTCGTCCTTTTCCGTCGTCCGTTTCGTCGTCGTCCTTTCATCGTTGTCGTCCTTTTCGTCGTCGTCGTTTCCGTCGTCGTCCGTTTCGTAGTCCGTTTGGTCGTCGTCCTTTCCATCGTCATCGTCCTGTTCGTCGTCGTCGTCGTTGTCGTCCTCGCCGTCCTGTTCGTCCTTTCCGTCGTCGTCTTTTTCGTCGTTCTTTTCATCGTCATCCTTTTCGTCGTCGTCGTCGTCGTCCTCGTCTTGATCGTGATCGTCATTATCGTCGTCCTTTTGATAGTCGTCGTCCCTTTCGTCGTCGTCGTCCTCCTCGTCGTCCTCGTCGTCGTCGTCGTCCTTTCCGTCGTCGTCGCGTCGTCCGTTTCGTCGTTGTCGTCATTTTCGTCGTCCTTTTCATCGTCGTCGTCGTCCTTTTCGTCGTCCTTGTCATCGTCGTCGTCCGTTTGGTTGTCGTCGTCATTTTCGTCGACGTCGTCCTTTTCTTCGTCGTCGTCATCGTCCGTTTCGTCGTCGTCCTCGTCCTGTTCATCGTCGTCGCCCCTTCGGTCGTCGTCGTTTTCTTCGTCGTCGTCGTCCGTTTCGTCGTCTTGTTCATGGTCGTCGTCGTGCTCGTCGTCGTCGTCCTCGTCGTTGTCGTCGTCATCGTCGTCGTCGTCCTTTTCGTATTCTTTTCATCGTCGTCCGTTTCGTCCTCGTCCGTTTCAACATCGTCGTCGTCCTCGTCCTGGTCGTCGTCGCTCTCATCGTCGGCCTTTTCATCGTCGCCTTCCTTTTCGTCGTCGTCGTTGTCGTCCTCGTCGTCCTTTTCGTCGTCCTTTTCGTCGGCAATTTCATCGTCCTTCGTCCTTGTCGTCGTTCTTTCCGTCCTCGTCGTCGTTTTCGTCATCCTTTTCGTTATCGTCGTCTTTTTCGTCGTCGTCGGCGTCCTTTTCGCCGTCATTTTTATCGTCGTCGTCCTTTTGTCGTCGTCGTGTTTTTACGTCGTCGTCCTTTTTCGTCGTCGTCGTCGTCCTCGTCCTCGTCGTCGTCCTTTTCATCGTCGCCGTCCTTTTCGTCGCCGTCGTTTTCTTCATCGTCGTCTTTTCGTCGTCGTCGTCGTCGTCGTTGTCGCCCTCGGCGTCGTCGTCCTTTTCGTAGTCCTTTTCGTCGTCGTCCTTTTCGTGGTCTTTTCGTCAGCGTCATCCTGTTCGTCGTCGTCCTCGTCCTCGTCGTCGTCCTCGTCGTCCTTTTCATCGTCGTCGTCCTTTTCGTCGTCGTCGTGTTCGTCATCGTCGTCCTTTTCATCGTCGTCCTTTTCGTCGTCGTCGTCGTCACTTTCTTCGTCATGTTCATCGTCGTCGTCCTCGTCCTGGTCGTCCTTTTCATCGTCGTCGTCCTGTTGGTCGTCGTCGTCGTCGTCGTCGTCGTCGTCCTAGTTGTCGTCGGCGTCGTCGCCGTCAACGGCGCAGCGGGCTGGCGGCGCGGCGGGGTCGGCCCCAGCGGGGGGCCGCTGGCCCGCGCCTCGCCGATGGAGTCGTCGATGGTGCTGCCCAGGATCGTGTGCGAGCCGATGCCGCGACTGAGGACGGCCTTCGCGGGAGCAGTTGGAGGGGTCTGAACCACTCCCCTCCTCGTGAACCTTCTCCTCCTGGTCCTCCTGGTCCTCCTGGTCCTCCTGGTCCTCCTGGTCCTCCTCCTTCTCCTCCTCCTCCTCTCCATTCCGCTCTTCCTCCTCCTCCTCCTCCTCCTCCTCTTCCTCGTCCTCCTCCTCCTCCTCCTCCTCCGCCTCCTATTTCCGTGGCCATCTAGGTTCAAACCAAGATGGTCCTCAGTCCACTGCCTGATCGGGGCAAGCTCCCTTCGCTTCCAGCGAGCCTTTTGTTGATAGCTGTATCCAAGGGCGAGCTGCCTCCCGCGTTCCTTCCAAACTCAGCAGCCACGCTCGGGGGCGAGCTGCCTCCCCTTCCATTCCTGCGCCGCCCCCAAGCGGGGACGGCACCACTTTTGTTGTGCCCTGCGGCACGAAGAGGGGGAGAAGGGGAGGGGGGGAGGGGGCAGCACCACATCTTTGACATGGCAAGCTGTCGTGGCCGCGGAAGTGAACGTGGCGCCAAACAACACCAGCATCGTCGGCTTGGAGCTCCAGCAGGGGAGAAACATCTTCCCCACGGCATCGTGCGCAAGCAGGGTCGTTACACATGGACATGGGAAGCTAAGGAGGAGTGCTTCATGCGCGGCAAGCTCTTCGCCCCCATCCCCAGCAGCATCGGGAGCCTGCAGGTGCATGGGCAAGGGGAAACCTTGCCAAGCCACTATGGACACCGAACTGAGCATCCAAGACCACCGCAGGGATAAGGAGGACAGTCCAAAGTGTCGATCTTCGAGGCGCTCAAGGAGCTCTTCAAAAGCGACGAGAAACACGACCACCTCGTCGGCAAGGTCAGCGAAGCACTACGCGCACCTGACACGCTTCCCCCTGTCCGGACAGCCGAGCAGGCCCTCCAGTCCGCGCTCGCCGTCCTCACTGACAGGGGGGGGGGCCTTCCAGCAGTCCGTCGACGACGCCGCGGAAGCGCCAGTGTGGCTCTACCAAGCGCTGGGGGAACATAACCAGGCCGCGCTCGACCTAGTCCAGGCGCAGAACGCGCGCGTCAAAGCCCAGGGCGGCCAGCGCGCCAAGCTGGCCTCATCAGCTACGCGCGCAGGAGGAGCTGGACCGCAGCCAGCCGCCGCCCCTGATTTCGCAATGGACCAGACCATCTGGGACGAACCCGGCACATGCGATGGACCATTCCATCCACCCCAGTCGTCCTTTGTAGTGGTCGGACGGTGGTAGTCTACGAGATCACCTAGCTGATAGTTGTGGTGTCCTGCTGCTGTCGTTTTCGTGCGTAGGGCTCAGTTGGTGATGGCTGCTGCTGTGGCCTGAGCAACGGCTTCAATGCTTATTTCTCTGATCCTCTGTTCTCGATTGTGATCGGACGTTTCCGCCCCCCGTTGGCCGCCCAGTACCGGTAGGTCTGGTGAACAGGCCGGTCGTCGACCATTCAGTGCGTGATATGGCGACGCCCCGTTGCAGAATGTGAATGCGTTGCAGACAAACAGGCCTTCGTGCAGAAGGCGTGTGAAAACAAATGGAATGTTGTGCCGTTTGAGGTCTCTTCTTCCATAACATGTAGGGTGTGTCTTAGAATGCCGCTGCGTGCCTCGATTGTAGCGGCGCGCTGGCCTCGGGCACGGATGCGAAGCTCTGCGCCTCTCGCCTTCGGGATGGACTTGGCAGCGTCATTGTTTAGGGCGCTTTCTCCGTCGGAGTGCATCGCAGTAGCTGGGCCGCGCTGAGTCCAGCAGTTGCGATAAGCGTCCAATGCCGTATGCATCGTCCTGTTGGCAATCGCTTGACCAGCAGCCCAACAATTGCACCTGTCGAAGATATGAAACACTATGTAGTGTCTGTAAAAATTGAACTCACGTTCGACTTCCTCGTTGGACTGGCCAGGCGGGCTTATCGGAGACATGGCAGCGTTGCCCGGCCTCTCCCAAGCTCTGCACTCACGGCATGAGCCAACTACTCGCTTGTTCATGTTCAGTCGTGCAACATCTATTCCTTCGCGCGACAGAAGTGTACGCATCTTTGGTTCAGATGCAAACCAGCGTAAGTGGATTTGCGCAACTCTTTTGGCGCGGTGGTCGGATCGTAACTCCGTAGATTTTGGAGACTCATCTGAATGTCAAATCTTGACCAGTCAGGCAATCTTGCGCGCGGCCGTGCATCCGCTGGTGGCGGGGGGGGAGGCGGCGCCACGCCGCTCTTCTCTCACCAGCGACGTCCCGCGAAGCGCGGGGGGTCTGAAGTCATACCAGCCCCAGAGCTACTTCGTGCGCCTCTTGACCTATCGTAACTGCTAGCGCCCACAATTGAGTCTTGAGGGTTTCTACGTGAGGGGAGAGGTACACGTGGCCGTGCTTCTTCCCATGGTCTCTGTCGTGCTGGCGGTAGCTCAGCCGGTGCAAGTACATTGTGAAAGAGTTCGTCTGGCGCTGCTGCTGGCGCAGCGGCAGCTGGTGCAGGTCCCCCTTCAACCGGTGCTGGCGCAGCCGGTGGGTCCCGTCCATGGTTGTCTGGTAATTGCCACGGTTGAGCAAACATGCGCTTGCCAGTTGTCAGCAGGTGGCCTCGCTTGTTTCTTCCCGTAGTCCATCTTGCAACTTGGGCATGCCTAAGAGTAGGATTCCCTGTCGCACCGCCGACATTGACGCGGATTTCGGTTGTGACACGGTGAGTTCATTTGAACGTTGTCTATACAAGCTGGGCACCCAAGTCCGCCCGATGGTGGTTGTTTGATAGGTCCTTTCCCGCCTCGTGGCATCGTAGGATCATCGAGGTCAAATCGAGCACTGTTGCCCTCGCACGGATCGACCCACGCGTCAGCCAAAATATAACGCCCCACCGATTGTCGCCAGCATCAGCAGCCCAAGCCAACGAAACCAAAGTCATCATGTCCACCATCCTGTGTCCTCGCCAGAGGTCTCGCCCGAGAACGGGCCGCGCGCGTCGTCGGAGTCGCCGTTCTTCGCGGGGCTCTCGATCTTCGGGCGGCGACGGAGCCTTCCTCTTGAGCAGCTCGGCCGCGACGTCCTTGTTGAGGACCTTCTGCGCTGCGTCCTCGAGAAACAGGGGCAAGCTGCCGCGTGGGGCAGGGCGGCACCGAACGGCCCGCGGCACCTCTGCCTTCAAGTCCCGCGCAGCTTGACTGCCCGCCTCCAGCGCTACCTTCGGCATCCTCGCACGGAACTGCGCGAGGGCGAAGGTCTTGGAATGGCGCCGGCCGCTCGACAGTTCTTTCCACCGCCCGCGGCGCCTGACCTGCTCAAGTGTGGCAGGGCCACGGGCCGCGCCCCCGCCGGCGCCCGAGTGGCGGATCCTGCGCGGCGTGGGGGCCCAGCAGGGCATGCCCGGCGAGCGGCGGGCCTGGCGCCAAAGATTCCTGAGCCGAACCTGGTCGATGCCGAAAAGCTTCTCACCCTTACCTGTCTAGAATTTGCCTGCCTGTCTGGAAGTCACGCAGGCCCAGCGCTGGGTTGGCGACGACGCCCCGTTGTGCCGCGGCACCCGGGTCGGTGCCCGTCTTGACCTCCTCGCCGCGACTGGGCGCCCCGAAGGCGAGCGCCGCGCGCTGTCCGTTCCACGCAACGCCCCCCGTCCTCAACATCTCCATGTCCTGCTCCCGGCCATTGACGTCGCACTGCGAGAGCGTCCAGACAGCCTCACTGCAGTGACCGTGCTCGAACATGTAGTTGGCGATCGCGTAGATGCCTCCTCCGGCAAGGGGCCGCTCTCGCTCGTGCCCGCCATTCTGCCAGCTCTTGAAACTCCTCGGGGCGAGTGGCAGTTTGTTGCGCAGCTCGGGCCATATGGCCAACGGGCCGATCAGCGCCGCCGAGCCGAGGGTGGCCCTCTTGCGCCCCCCGTAGCACTGGATGTCCATGTAGTCGGCCAGCGCGCGATCCACCTCGAGCTCGGACGCGGGCTGCCAGCCCCGCCCGATGCAGAACTCGAAGAACTGGCGCACCTTGGGGGCCCACTGCGCAGCCGTCGCGCCGGCCGCCGAGCGGGTCAGGAGGCGCGTGGAGCCCCCGTCCCGAAGGCCAGCGTTCGGGCCCATGGCGCAGATGTCCCAGGCTCGACGGGGTCGAGCCCAACGGCGGCAAGGACCAGCTGAAGCCAGGTCGGACGAGGCAGCGGTGATCGCGATCAGCCACCAGCGCAGCCTACGCGCGCATGGCCCAGCGCCCGCGCATCAAGCTCGGGGGCCCTGGCCCGGTCGCTATGCGCCAGGACTGTCTCCGGCGCCGCGCCCCGAGAGCCTCCGCGCGAAAGCCCATCCGACGCGCTGACCTCGGACGGCGCGTAGCGGCAGGAGCCGTAAATGCGGAAAGCCAAGGTGATGGCCGCCGCCATGCGGCACAGGTGCAGCAGGGCTGGGGCGCTCGAGCGGCCCCTCCCCAGCGTGCCCAAGGCCGCCGCGCTGTCCGTCAGGATGAGGACGCACGACTTCCAGGACCTCGGTGCTCTTGCAATGTACCTCGGGAGACCTGCGATGGCGCGCGTCTCGCTGATGTTGGCATGCTCGGTCTCGCGCCACCTCCCGAAGTAGAGGGGCCGCCGCCTCGTCAATGGGGGCCAGGCGCGGGCCAGCAAGGGGGCTCGAACACGATCTCCCCGCCGAACCTCCCCCCTCGACCTTCCCGGGCGCGCAGGCCCCAGCGTCGCTGACGCAGGCGACTGCAGCGAGCCCGAGACGTCGGGGCCCCGCTCTGTCACCTTCATGTCCACGAATGCCTCGAAGATGACCTCGCTGCGGCTGTGCGAAACGTAGAACTCCCTGGAACCTCCCGCCCTTGGAGCGTAATATGATGGCGCCCCCGGCGGTTGCAGGCGAGGCAGAGGGGGGCCGCGGCCCCCCCCCTGGCCGCGGTCGAAGCCGCCGAGGATGCCCATCGTCGTGGGCTTCATGGAGGGGCCCCGTAGCGGCACTGGTCGATGCACTGCGCCCGGCCGTCGAAATCCCCGACGAGTCTCCGCGTTT